AGCTTTAAGCCAACTTTTTCACTCTCCTCTTTCACTTTCATCAAGAGGCTTTTTAGTTCCTCTTCACTTTCTGCCATAAGGGTGGTGTCATCTGCATATCTGAGGTTATTGATATTTTTCCCGGCAATCTTGATTCCAGAACATGCCCCTAGCACTTCTTAAAAAGTCATAGAATGCCTCAACCTGATGATTCCTCAAGATTTGATTAATTTAAAATATTATGTTCCATCAAGATCATCACTTTTTATTATCTTGCTGCTCTGCATTGTATCTCCCTTATTATTCTCAGCTACAAGGGCCATAAATTAAAATCATTCAGAATTTATACTCCTACAGTTCATTATCTATGATTGGTATTATCTCACCACCTTTCTCTGGCCCTTCTCTATGCCCTGACAAGAAATATTGCAGTAGAGTCTAAATACCATCCACCCAATAAATGTTGAGTTTAAAAAAAGGGGGGGGGGATCCTCTATTGAAGGGCACTCCATCTCTCCTTCTTATCTCCATCAACAGCAATTCTTTCTGTCAAAATGACAGAGAAATAAGCTTCTAAACAGTTGAGAGTTAGGTCCTTGTTTTGCTCCCGTCTGGACTGGACATGTCATTTTCTCTTCCCTTACCTTCTTCTCCTCTTTCCCTGAAGGTCAAGGGACATTAAGATACAACAGACTGCTTCACGAGGAACAATCCTACTTAGGGAACAAACAGGTAGCAATGTAATCAACTGATTTCAAAAACAACAGGTGGTCCATTACTGGAAATTTTGAACACCTCTCAGTGACCTTCCAGAGGCCAGAGGCAGTCCTACAAAAGCTGGGAGGCTGGTCTTTTGTTTCTAAGACTGATCAAGGCTGAGTATAGATCCCTCCACTAGACCACAGGAAAAATAAACACAAGTATCTGACAATGGTGAGATTCCCCCAAATTACATTTGGATGGTTTTCTTCACTAAAAAACTTGATAAAGTAAACTGGTGTATCCACAGAAGCTTTTGTCATGGTTGTTCCATCAATATCTTCAGAGATGTGAGATCCTATCACACTAGGGAGAGCAATGATTTTTCAGAGGGATGGAAGTTGGCAACACTTGCTAAAAAGTGGATATTCAAATCCTGACTGATCTCGAAAGAAAGCTGAATGCCAAAGAATTGATGCTTTTGAACTGTGGTGTTGGAGAAGACAGAATCCCTTGGACTGCAAGGAGATCCAACCAGTCAATCCTAAAGGAAATCAATACGGAATATTCATTGGAAGGACTGATGCTGAAGTTGAAGCTCCAATACATTGGCTACCTAATGTGAAGAACTCACTTATTGGAAAAGACTCTGATGCTGGGAAAGACGGAAGGCAGGAGAAGGGGACAGCAGAGGATGAGATGGTTGCATGGCATCACCGACTCGAAGCACATGAGTTTGAGCAAGCTCCGGGAGCTGGTGATGGCAGGGAGCCTCGCGTGCTGCAGTCCTTGGGATTGCAAAGAGTCAGACACGACTGAGCAACTGAACTGAACTGAACTGACTGATTCATATAGTAGGAAAGTTCACATTTAGTGCATGTCCTGGCCCTTGGGATCCAGCTGTTTAGAAACATAAAGCCCTCAATATTCCACTTTCAGGACCACTGCGAAGTCAGTGGAAGTATTTCTTCCCCCTCTCCTCTCCTTCCTTCCCTCCCCCCACCCCCTCACGATATTCAGCATAACATGCAGATGCTAAAGATCATAAGACAGAGCTTAGGGGAGGAGAAACAGGTCAGAGTGTGGCAAAACACAATCTATTGGCACTGCTTTAAAATTGTTTAAAAATGTAAAAAGCATTGATTTTCAAAGTTATAAAGTCTGACACCACCATGTCTGTGGATCATTGCCACTTGTCCTTCTTTCCTCATCTCAGTGAACTTTGATCATAATTCAACAGTTATCAAATAAAAAACCTATGATCAAAAATGCATGTATACACAGGACTGTTTCAACAGGTTAGGAATTAGAATCCAGAGACATCACTAGCGGTGGCTGAATGTGAGTAAGCCTGAAAAAGGGTCCACACCAATAGTACAAGAAACCTAAGAATCACCCGAGAAACTTATACAATCATAAAATAAAACAAAGCCCCATGGAAATCAAAGTTGCAATGACATACTGTATTTCATCTGCCAGATGAGCAAAAATGACAGTCTGGCAAAACCCAATACTGGTAAGGATGTAGAATCCTGGATGCACATCACTAAAGGGAATATAAATCGGTGCCACCACTTTGGAAAAGACATTGGATTATGAATTGAAGTGGAAGGTGAACCATGTGACCCAGAAATTCCACCCCAAATTCTATGCTCTAGGGAAACCTTCGGACACGCACACACTCCAAGAGGCATGTACAAAAATGCTGATAGTGGTGCTATTGGTAATAGCATAAACTTAGAAACAACCCAAATATCTAATAACAGTGGAAGAGACAAACTGTGGTATTTTCATGTAATGGATCCAATACAAAATGAACCACAGCTATATGTATTAAAAATGGGCAAATCACAAAACACTATTCCATTTATACAACAGGTTGCAAGTCTAATCAATATGTTGTTTGAGGCTATATACATAAGGAGTAAGGGCACAGAGAAAAGCAAATGCATGATTAAACACAAAGTGTGGGGTAATGGTTACCTCTGGGGAAAAGGAGAGATTTTTGATCTAGGCGGGAGAAGAAAAGGTTGTAAAGGAACTGACAACGTTCAAATTCTTACACTTGGTGATGAGAATACAAGTACTGATTATATTGTAATCTTTAATCCACACATATATATTATGTCTACTTTTTTGTACATGCTTGATTTTATAATAAAGTTTGAAAATCTACAGATTCCTAGGCTCTACTTCACATCTACTGAATCAGAATTTAGGTTATAGCATTTAGACAGTATCTTTATAAGTTCTCCAGAAGATCTGGATGCACTATTGGGTAAGAGCCACTCACTTACACACACAAACCCCCCACATTACACATCAGTATCCAGGTGAAAGCAGCTTTAAATACAAATGAAAGTCAAGAAATTTCAAGAGCGTCATAAAAATAGAAAAGGTCATCCTGGGAGAGTATAAAAGAAAGGGGCCTCACAGTTCAGGGCTCCAGGCTGAGGGGGAAGCCTGGGAACATTAGTTAGTAGTTTTTAGTCCTCATGAGCTTCCTTGAGCTCTGTCCCTGTGTGCTTCCCAGGAGCATCTGTCTGAGATAATCACCCCTAAGAACTGGGCCCACAGCAGTTCTCACCACAGCTTTTACTATAAAGACAGAGGCATGACAAGGTGGAAAGTATTCCAGTCTATGACTCATCAAGGCAGACATCTAGACCTGTAGACCCACATACATAAGCTGATCGTCAGCAAGTTGCTTCCCATCTCTGAGCCCTAGTTTTCTCATCTGCCCTGACTCCCTCACAAAATTGGAATCCAATGAGACAATGCAGTTGGAAGGGCTTTGCAATTGGAAGTACCACTCTGCCATGCCCAGTAAACCCAGTACTATGTCAGTTAGTATTTCTTCCTAAAAGCTAGAAATAGAGGCTGTCAATGCTGGGCCAGTAGAATTTTCTGGGTCCAAGGAATTGGGGGCTCTAAGATTTGCCTTAGAGAGACCTGAGGAAGGATTAGGTCTTGGTGCCTCTGTATCTCTCTAAAAACTCAGCAAATATTTATCAAGCATCCACTACTTATCCTGGGCCTATCTTTTCCAGTACTGATAATTCAGAAGAGGATGTTCATAAACAGCTCAGAACTACTGGAAGCACCTTACAGAACTAATATGCAGTCTGAATAGTCATTAATGGCTTTGGAACTAACATTTAACTCAGTTATACAACACACTCCAAATTAGGATTGCCAGATTCAGCAAATAAAAATGCAGAACACAATTACATTTGAATTTTTTAGGATAATTGGACTACTTTTTCAGTATAAGTATGTCCCAACTACTTACATGAGACACACTTATACTAAAAAAATCATTTGTTGCTTAAAGCTCAAATTTAACTGGATGTCTTATGTTTTAGAGATGACACCATTCCAAATAAACAAACAGGTTAACATTTTTTTTTTACATCTTACATTGGGAAATCTGCATGAAAGACAGCTATGAAATCCTATTTCTAAACCCTTCAATCCAAAGGGTTGGATTGACCTTGAAATTGAACTTATAGCCTCCTCTCCCTTGTATAGTCCAAGACATGGAAAGGCACAGATATTAAAAACAGGTTTCAAAGGAAACAGGACAGAACAGGGATGGAGAGGTCACAAAACTTCAAACAGAAATAGACATCCCATCCGCATCCTGGTCCATTCAGGACATTTCGCAGTGTCCTCTACCCTTACCTCTGGGCATTTCCTTGGAATGCTCCGCCTCAGGCCCATCCAACAGGTCCATCTGAGAGGCCTCCTCAGAAGAAACATGGCGCCAGGACCAGCTCTGGTTCCCAAGGTTGTGCAGTGGAGGGGAATACTCCAGCTCACAGGGGAAGTCAAAGCTGCACTCCAGACCTGCAAGGAGCAGCCCATGGTCAGTGGAGCAAACTGTCTCCCAAATGTGACCTTCCAGCCCCACTCCTCCACTCCAGGAAGTTGGCCTCCATCTCATCCACAACCTTCACCCTATCCAGGTGTGAGAAGCTATAAATTTCATAGGCATCTTAGCTCCATATGCATGAGAAGGAGACTAAGAGGGAAAAATAGTGTGCTTTGTATAACTTAGATTATGAGAGATGTCTTCAGAAAAGGCAAGTAGAAAAAAAGAGCTAAGAGGTTGAACCATGAAAAGATTTGCATCCTGTCAAGTTACTTGGTGACATGAAGAAGGCTTGAGGTCAACTGGTCACAGCTGGGCTTTGCAACCAGAAAGGTGTGAATCTAAGTCAGGCAAGAAAATTAACCCCTCTGGCTTCAACCGTCCTCTCTTATACATTAGGGATGATAATTTCTACCTCTGGAGATTGCTGTAAGAACCAGAAGGATAATACAAGATCTACACACACAACTGGTGCACAACTGATGCTCAGCAAAAATTCTTATCAGATTCCTAAATAAGAAGAGAAGGTCAAAGGGAACTTAGGCTTCTCACAGCCCCGTTTGCCAATCATATTATCTATTCAATCACCTTCCAGGGAGAAGTGCCATGGCTAGGATAGCTAATCTGAGTTCTATTCTCTCTTGGGCAGGGAATAGGGAAGGTCACTGATTAGGCAGAGAGAGAAGAGGCAAGAAGAGGCCGTGCTCTGGGACTTTATATGATCTTTTCTGGGCTTCTTTGCAAGAATCATCACTGTGTCCAATCCTTTCACATCTGCTGCCCTACTTTTAGGATATACTCACCTTCTATTTCCCTTGCCTTGATCGTTATTTTCTACCCAAAGTGGTTGAAGTGTTTGTACACCTAGAAGGCTCTCAATGCTTGCTCATGGATCAATAAAATATGTGCCAAAAAGCAAATTAGTCATCCACTCTTTACTTCATCATCTCTATCTCCTTTTAGCCCTGGAGATGTGAAGAAAGGGAAAATTTGATATAAAGACCACTGAATGAATGGGACTTTGGGGAATTTTGTTGGTATCCAGGCTTTTCACATTTGGTTGGTATCTTCTTCTCACATGTAGTACTTGGTGCCCTCATTCATAAATAAGAGGTTTAGACTCAATGATTCTAGAAACAATTACCCAGAGAAACCTAGGTTCCAGCTCCAACTTTGCCATTGATTTGCTGGTTATCTTGAATAAGCCACTTTACTTTTCTGGGCCTTAAGTTTCTCAAATACAGAATGAGACCCACACTAGATGTCTTCTAAAGTTCCTTCTTGATTTGACTTTTTTAAGATTCCAAAGTCCCTACTCTTAGAAGTGTTATAACAAATTTATTAAATCAATCTGTTTGGTGGTGCTAATGGGTAGTATTTAGTTGCTAAGTTGGTTCTGACTCTTGTAACCCCATGGACTGTAGCCTGCCAGGCTCCTCTGTCCATGGTTTTCCCAGGCAAGAATACTGGAGTGGGTTTCCACTTCCTTCTCCAGGGGATCTTGCTGACCCAGAGATCGAACCCACATCTCCTGCATTGGCAGGGGGTTCTTTACCACTGAGCTACCAAGGAAGCCACTAATGGGTACTAACTCCCAATTATCACTGTGTATTTTAGTATCTGCTTCTGGAGCTACTGTTACCTTGATCTCTAAGACAAGTTCTCTGTTGGGAATTCCAGAAGGCAGAGGAGAAGTAGTGCCAAATCTAGCGCAAATAGCCAGTCACTGGAATGTCCTTTAGTAACACATAGAAGCTGGCCCTGCCCTGGAGTAGGAGTAAAATAATTCCCACTGACACTGGCCAAACTAAGTTTAGGGGGGAAGAAAAAAATCCTTCAATTACCCTTCTATTAAGTATCTTTCTACTTCTCAACCAGTGGAGATTTATGTACCAGCTGCTCTCCAGAGCTGCCATCCTCCTGGTCCTAAGGTTAATATCACTCGCCCTTTCATGATTCAGACAATTCACCTTTATAATGTCAAGCTGAAACAGGCAGAGCTAGGCTTGTTTGAGTTGACAAGCCACTTGCCGCCTACATATTTTATATCAGCCTTGAAGACTTTCTACATGCTTCTGGGGGCTGAGCTACAGCTATGAGCTAGTGTCCATGAATTGTAGGGTGCCTTAATCTTCAAGACTTGCTTGCTAGGTCCCCAGTTTCAATAACAGAATGCAATAAGAAGAAAAAAAACCAACATTTGTACTTTGCAGCACAAAATTATCCTTATAATGAAATATATCTTATAATGAAAAGTATAGCCATTAAGCCTGGCTCCTCTGGGGATGATCAAAAAGACCCAACCACATCAGCAGAAGATCAAGTCAGAGGGTGGCCACCTCCACCCCACATCGACAACTATCGGTGCCTTTCCCAGAGCTTCAACTTCTGAAGCCCATCCTCCATCTTGACTTTTCTTCTCCAATTAAAGTCATCCTGCTTCCACGTGGGACAGAAGGGCGGCATGCCAGCTCAGACACTGCCTAGCAAGTGTGCTCTGTGCTCATGTTACACAGACAACAGAATATGCAATCCCAGCCTCAAATATCATCAATCCTTGACTCTTTGAACTCTGGAGAGACTGATGATCAGTTGTGTATGGATCAGATTCTGCCTAGTAAAACAGGCCAGGCAGATACTCCTATTATCAAATAGGTTCGTTTTGAAATCCATACTCTGAGGCAGCTTCTCTTTAGCTGTCTAAGATGTACTTTGTGCTTTAAATAGAAATGGAGCCAACATTATTGCTTATTTGAGGTGAAATTAGATTGGGCTTTTCTACATTCTGATTTAATTTCTTATAAAATTTCAACACAGGTTTCTTCTGACCTAGCTTTAGTGCCTTTTGAGCAATAATACCCGGGACTTATCTTCTCTAAAAATGGCAGATTAAGTCTCATTTTCCTTGGGCATTTTCTGAATTTCTAGCTCTAGGGTGTTTCTTGGATCTCTCTCTTTAGCCCTCCTTGACTCTGTCCCCAGGTGGTGGGTGCTATAGAGTCTTACAAATAGGACTCAGAGAAACTAAGGGCTTCAGTGAAGCATTCAGCCTTAAGCAACCCAAAATGGCCCAACAGGTCCTTGCCCAAGGGGAAGGGTAGAAACAAACATTCACCAACCCCAGTTGTCAGCCGGGAACTGTGCTAAAGAGATTTCTTATATCACTATATTTAATCTGCTAAACAAATTGAGAAGTGAATTGTGTTTTCTCTTTAAAGCTGAGGAAACTGAGACTCAGAAAGTTTACTCTACTTGAACAAAGATGAAAGGTCTTCCCTGAGGAGGAGCCGGAATGTGACCCAGGGCTGACTAATGCTGAATAGCTCACACCTCCACAGCTTCAGAATTTTAATCCAGGGCCAACAGATCAAATTAAATAATATATGAGAAAGCTATGAAGTGCTATATTTTGGTTATTATTAGATACTAAGTCTGTAACTTTGTCATATCCATAAAGGCTTCTATACTACCCTAAGGGGACAGATCTATATTTCATCCGTGTCAGGTCCAAGACTGTACTTTTCACATATCCATTTGGAACCAGAAGAATCTAACCACTGAGAAAGAGCAATGAGAAAAAGACTTTCCAGAACCTGCTAATCACATAGTTGAAATCACTGCAACCAACAGAAAGTCACTTCCATCATGGAAGAAAGATAAAGTAATGGAATCTTCTGGAAATAACTGGCCTGCTGACAGGAGTGTCAAGTGCTGTCAAGGGAAAGGTCTTGGTAGAGCAGTGAGGAAGACCCCAGGTTCAGTCCTGCACATAGCAGCTGAAGGGCCTCAGCATGTCCATTCCTTTTTCTGCACCTGGCTTTCTGCAATTTGAAAATGATGGAGCATATCCCCTCTCTGATGCTCTCCATTTCTGAAGTCAGTGATTCTACAGAGCTCACAGTGAGCCAACCCAACCAAACCTACAGACAGTTGGTCCCCTCACTCTGTCTGCCTCTAAATGAGAGCCTGCTGTTATCCCTAATGGGTTCCCCAGGAAAGGAGGTGAAATGTGTATCACACTACATAGGGACTCAGTTTGCCTCAAGAGCCTCAAAGAATTAAGAAGGAGTGCTCAGGGAGATTTTACAGATGACTGCCAGGGTGAGTGTGTATGTGTGTATTCACACATTTTTTATCAGTCTGTATCCATATTCTGAAATCTTCCAGGATATGAGTTATACTTCAAAAACTGAATTAACAGCTTCAAGAAATTGTTCTAGTATAAAACACAGCTGAAGAATTCAGAAGAATTGTTCAGTAACCCATCAGAAAAACCCTGTGGTGGCCCTTCCCAGAGAGATGCCCAGTTTGCTTGGCTGTGGTGAGTTGGCGGTGCCCAAGCACTTTGAGACTCAATCTGGACTCTGGGAATGTGTGTGACTACCACAGCAATCATGCTCAAGGCCTGAGCTTAGGAAGCCAGCTGTGGCTACTTTAGCAAAGGTGGGAATCTTCCCAGCCTGAGCCACAGGAAGGAGACTGTGTGAAAGTTTCAGGCACTGTCCAAGCATAACAGGGAGAGCAGATGTACTTTGGACTCTAGGGTCTTCTCTTGGGTGGACTTAGAAAATCCCAGTCTTCCTTTATATCCAGACTGACCTCAAGCTTCCCCAAATCCCTTAGATCAAGATTCTTTGTATCTCCTTCATCCTAACCCTATAAATCCAGAGACCTCCCACTAGTTTCCTAAGTCTCCTCTAGACAACCCAAATTAAGGGACCAACAGCCTCCTTTAGACTTTAAGACATGTCTTCTGAGGCTGGCTGGTTTCCAGAGGCCACAGGTGGCTGGTGCCAGCCTGAGCAGGTTCATAGGAGCCCACTGGATGATGTTGCCCAGCCACAACCCAGCACAAGGAATGAAAGCAAAACCACAGAGTGAAAAGCAGAGTCATAGAAAAGAAGAGAAAAACACCATATTTATCAACCCCATGATACTTCACCCTTCTTCATTTTGTCTCTCATTACAAGGGTCC